GTCGTTGTTCGTCGTCAGGCTGAATTGCTCTAGGACGGCGACGAGGTACTTGGTGAAGGTGGAGGGCAGCTGAACTGCTCTAGGAGGGCGACGAGGTACTTGGTGAAGGCGGAGGGCATCGGCAAAACCTTCAACTCAAGTCCCAAGACGGTCTTTTTGGCCTATAAAGAGAGCTAGCCAATCGATGACGACAAGGACGGCCAAAGAGAAAGGCAGCGTTGGAGCAAGTTGGGCCAATCATAGCGCAAACTGGTGCACATCCTGCGACCGCCAGCCTTCACTGTTTCGCTTGCACAATCCAGCAAAGAGCCGAGTTTCCTATGCCGGCACCGGCAGTGTAACGGTCGCAGCGAGCCATCGTGTTAACTTAATCCAAAGTACTTACATGCCTGCTTGCCTAGTGAACGGTGAAAGAAGGGTTAGAAAACTAGCCCCAAAAGCTTACCAAAGACAAGAACCACGCGAGCCACTAACGTTGTACAGTTGGGTACCAGAGATATCCCCTCCATTCTTTCAAGTTTTGGTGGCGCAAAAGCTGAATCATTTGAATCCACTTTGCGATATGCTACTGTGCTAAAACTTGAGATGAGCTTAGTGGCGCCTATTAATAAAGGTATCCCACATCAAAAGCAAAGGTAAAGCCGGACAAAACTAAAGCTCTTTTTTATCCACACTCTGGTGTGCCTGTCACATGTATGCCTTTGAGAGCGCAGCATGATGAGTCGGTTCAGTAAGTCCTTGCATCCTGGCTATGAGCCCACAAAATATTATTGGATGTACTTGTGAGTGTAGAATGATAAAGCCTCAGATGTGTATGCCTTCTCTGTGTGTTTATGGTTATCTGAATTGTTTTCATGTCGTTGTTTTGGTACCATAATCATTGAGAGGCTATGAGAAGCATACATGCATGCATGGATACATGGCAGTACGAACCAACATGATATTTATAATTACACACTTCAGAAAACCCAGCTTACACGTACGAATCAACATGATATTTTGCTACACAAGGGCAAGACTGGACTGTATCTAATTCAATACGGGACATACGTGTTGGCAATAACACAGCATAGCTAACATCTGATCTATACTGCGACCGTAACTAGACGAGTAGAACTGAAAAGTAGGCCAACGAAGCGAAGAAACCAGCGACAGCAAGAGCCAGCCGCTCACCGTGCATGCGCGGAACAAATCCGTATCCATTTCCCGAGCTTGCGCCGCTGACGAAGCCTCCACCGTTGGACCAGAAGCGCGCGTAGCACTTGCCGAGGTACACTTCGCCGGCTGAGGCGTAGCCACACCCGGCCTTGAGCTGCGCGGCCGCTGCCGAGACGCAGTCGGAGCACGCCTTGGCGTCGAGGTCCCCCACGCACTGCGACATGGCCTGCACGCCCCCCGCTCCGCCGGCGCGGTAGCCTCCCCCGGCGGGCGCCACCGAGGACGCGAGCCCTCCGAGAGCCGAGTCCCTCATGGCGGCGCCGCCGGCGTCCCCGGGCGAGCCGCCGCACTTCTTGAAGAGCACGGCCGTGTTCGGCTTCCCGACGAACGAGTCGTTCCCGTAGCGCACGAAGCACGAGCGCAGCTGCACGGCGCCGCCGGCGGACCAGGAGCAGAGGGAGGAGAGCCTGGCGATGGCGGAGCGCACGCAGCCGGTGCAGACGGAGGCCGGGAGGTCGGAGCGGCACTGGTAGAGGCCGGCCACGGGGGGTAAAGCCGAGGGAGAAGTGATGTTGGCGTAGGGGGTGTAGGGCGCGCTGTTGGCGAGGGATGTGAGCACGGAGTCCACCCCCGACTCGTACTGCGTCCCGGCGTCGTAGCGCCCCTGCGAGCAGCCGGCGTACACGAACGCCGAGTCGTCGTCCGCGCCGGCACGGAGCAGGAGCAGGGAGAGGACGGGGAGGAACGTTGCCGTGGCGCGGGCAGTCATTTTCTGCTTCGTGCTCTCGCCACACCAGCGCTTGTGTTCAGTGAGCTTGTGAGTCGTGACTGGAATTTTAGGAGCGAGGGAGTGTGTGAGGAAGCATTGCGCTTACGGGACGTATTTGTGGAGAGTGTAGTGGGCTAAGGGCAGCAATCTGCCGGCGCGCCGGCCCGACTATTGGGCCGGTCAAGCCCCAGCCGTCCGATGCAGTTAGTGTGGACCGGTGCTGCAATTGTACTACAACCCTGGTGTGGTCTTCCAAGATGTAGCATGGCATGGCCGGGATGAAATTAATCTGGTATGAATTCCAATTGCAAACCCTAGATCCTTTCGTTCACAAAAAAATGTTGCAACCTTTGATTTCAATTGATGAGCATGAGATGAAAAAAGATGTCAAAATACTTGTGTTGATTTTTCTGAAATATTTTTGAGATGTTGTCAATTAATGCTAGTAAAATGTTTCTTCCTGTTGTCTGCTAGTAAAATGTTACAAGTATGTATTGCACTACTACATGCTACTTCCTGTATGTTACATGCTACATCCCAAATGCTACATGCAGGAATTGTTTTGGAATTGTGAATGACATGCTGCATCCACTTCTTTTGTTCGCACGCAGCAAAACAAAAATTGACTTGGGCGTTGATTTTGTTGTAGAATGTTGCTGTGGAGCCATCGATTTTCCTTGATGATGATCTGCAAAATGTTGCGCACCAAGAAGAAGAGGATGACATTGATCTGAATGATACTTTGGGAACGGATAGTGATGATTCCTTGCAGCTGAACACGGATGGTGCAGCTCCAAATCATGAAAATGCCCAAGTTGCCTGTGACAATGCCAATGGAAATGCTGCAACACTTGTTGATGAACCAGATGAAGATATATCATCACAACCAATTTTCCCTTTTGTTCGAATGGTTTTTGACATTGTTGAAGAAGCTCAGCGTGTTTACAATGAATATGCCTCGAAGACGGGCTTCAGAACTCGCATTGTGACATCAAGGCATAGTAGGAAAAAAGCTCGGAGCAGAAGCGCTTTATAATCTATAGAGTTTTTGAGTGCATACACTCACGGAAAGATCCTTCAAATAATGTCGTGGAAGCATTTCTGACGGCGCTGCAACAAATCAATGTGATGATGTTGATATGAGCTATGCTAGTAATAAAAAAATTAGCAAGCAAACAAGCTGGTCTATATGGATGTGAGCGACAAGAGGAGAAGAAACAGGTTGGAGCGGTACGATTGCAAGGCTCATATGGGTCTTAGCCTCAAAGACGGTAGCTGTGTTGTGACAGCTTTTTAGGCCGATCACACATAGTAGCTGATGTTATAGAGAGGTCGTCGGGGATTTTGCCACTCTCATAGAAAGATCCTGGATGTAGACATGCAGTACACCACTTCGCTGCACTATCGCAACATATCAACGACTAATATGGTGGGCTTGCTTGGAGATGCACGGTGTTGCGATCCAAGGAGTTTGCCATATGTGAAGATTGATGTGACAAATGCAAGAGCAAACTTGCGAAGGGGTCTGTCAGAGCGTGATTTGGAGCTGACCATTGAGTACTTTGAGAGAAGACAAATGGAGAACCCCAACTTCTTTTTAGCTAGAAGAATATGGATCTGTTAGAGCACTTTCCTGGGTTGATGGGAGAACAAGGGCCTTGTATCCAAAGTACAAAGATTGTGTGGTTTTCGACACCACATTCTGCACAAATCGCTATAACCTGCCCTTTGCTCCGATTGTTGGCATTAACAACCACACACACACCGTTTGCTTGGAGTGTGCTTTGCTGCCTGATGAGACCATTGAAACTTTCAAGTGGGTCTTCCAGCAATTGACGTTGGCAATGAATAACGAGCATCCGTTGAACATTATGACTGATTAAGACCAGGCAATCGCTAAAGCCATCTCAATGGTATTCCCAGATTCAACACATAGATGTTACAAGTGGCACGTCTTCCAGGTTGCAAGGAATAAACTAGGGAAGATGATGGGAAAGGATGAGCCTTTTGCTGAAGCATTCTATGATTGCATTAATAGTTCAGATACCGTTGAGGAGTTTGAAGAATGGTGGAAGCAGATGGTCGAGTTATTTAGTGTGGCTGATAAGAAACACCTCAAAAACATGTGGAACAACAGGCAGATGTGGGCTCTTGTGTACTTTAGGAATAAGTTCTTCCCATTCAAAGGAACAACCGGGCGGTCCGAGGGACTGAATTTCTACTTCAAGACTTTAAATCATCATGGAGACTCAGTTTGGACATTTGTTCAACAGTTTGAGCTTTGCCAGAAGCTAATGCTTGACCGTGAGGACAATGCTGGCTTTATCAAGGAAATGACGAGGCCACCACTCTGGGGCAAGTAAGTCCATAGTCATGTAGCATTTTTTTAGTTTCTCTGGGTATCTTTTTTTACCTGTTTTCAAGTACAATTTGGTTGTAGATTTAATTTGAAACATATGTAGCAATTCTTATTGATGTTGGAAGCTTTTTTGTTTGCAGTCACAACATTGAAAAGCAGGCTGCGGATTTCTATACCAGAGAGGTATTTTCCAAGTTTCAAAAACTATTGGTTAAATCAACAGGCTTTGGGCTGCAATATCAGGTGTAAGGGGATGTCATCTAGTTTCGCCTTGTTGCAAATGATGGCATCAACCCTAAAGTGTACATGGTGTGTGTTGCCCCTGAAGATCAGACATACATGTGCAGCTACAACATGTTTGAGATGTGTGGGCTGATCTGCCCACATACCATCCATGTCATGGTGCACCTGAACGAGCAAACAATCCATGCGACTTACATACTTCCAAGATGGTCTAAGAGAGCAACTGACCTTGCGCCTGATCCGGGCGATGGGCATAGAGCTATGCACTTCGGCGTCCCCACAACAAACACCCTAAAGTTTATCTCTCTCTGCCGGAAGTTTGGGAAACTTGCTTCTAATGCATGCTTTAATGATGAAGCTTATAGTTTTGTCTGTGGCCTAATTGAGCAGGACAGTGTTGGGGTTGCTGCAATAAAAGCTAGAGCAACTGATGGGATTGCAGGAGATGAAGAAGCCCAAGGTCATGCAGCAAATGAACAAGGGATCCACCCCTCGTAGGACTGCAGAACCCACCAAAGTCAGCAAAGAAGGGGATGCCAAAGGAAAAAGAGAAGCGAAGGAAGCCACTAATTGAGCTTCGAGAAGATAAAATGAAGAAGAAATCAAATAAGGACGCAGCGAATTCGAAGAAAGCTCCAAAGCCAAGGGAAAAGAAGACTCCATGCAAATATTGTGAAGATGAGGATCACAACGTGAAGAACTCTCAACTCCTTGCTGCTTTTCTTGCTGCGAGTGCGAGCGCGAAAGCTCCGAGTGTCGAAACAATCCTTACCCTTTAGGATGTTTCATGAGGAAAAAAATGATGAATTGCCTTGTAACACCCCATGACTTTTATGCATATGCAAGAATTATGATAATATGCTTACAAAAATTAGTTGTGTTGACTAGTTGTAAATGTTTGTTTTGTAGGATTCCAACATATTACTACATATTTGGTTTGAAAAAGTAGAATGTTGCCTTTTACGGGAGTTGATTTAAAACGATTCTTACTGTTATATGTTTGTGAGAGCTTACTTTTTGTCGTATGATGGTGCCAAATTTGTAGAATTTTTTTAAAAAGCAGAATGCTTTTTCCCTTAATTTTTTGAAAAAAGTACTCAACGGTTGGTGTAACCACAGCTTGATCCATTTAAAAAAACATGATATAAGCTTTTGAAAAGCATGGTTAAGGCTTCTTGAAAACATGATTGCAGCTTCTTAGAAACATGGTTGAAGCTTTTGAGAAACATGGTTGCAGCTTTTAGTAAACATGGTTGAAGCTTTTGAAAAACATGGTTGCAGCTTCTTAGTAACATGGTTGAAGCTTTTGAAAAACATGGTTGCAACTTTTAGGAAATATGGTTGAAGCTTTTTAAAAATATGGTTACAACTCTTAGGAAATATGGTTGAAGCAAAATAACATGTTGGGAAAGGAAAAGCCTTGAATGATTTGGCTATGCAGCAAAATTTGGCTATACATGTTTCCATTTTATGTGAGCTTGTAGCAAATCAATTGCAAAAGAATGTAGCACTATAGCAATGTTTTGTAGTTTTTTTTTTGCATATAACTTTTGAAGCTATTTTACATTATACTTCCAGCAAAAAAATGTAGTGATGCAGCTAATTTGCAGGTAAAATGTATATTTTGGCTTTGCAACAAATCTGACAGAAGGTTGTAGCTATTTTCTATGAGCTTCCAGCAAATAAAGTGTGTCAATGTAGCATTCACATATTATTTTCAGAAAAATATTTTGAGGGAAAAAAAGCAGAGAGATTCCCTTGAAACTTCGATGGGTGAAGTTTGAAATATTTTCATATTTCACATCCAGCAAAAGAACAAAAAAACAAAAAGATTTATACTCCAGCAATTGTCCTTGCATAATCATGTTGGCAACATAAAAAGTGCTTCATCCAAAGATCAAGTTATGGACCCAACAAAAATATCGTCGGTTTACATACCAAAAGAACACATCTTTTTGCCGGAGGTATCATCGCTTTACATACCAACGCACACTACTCTAATCCTATCAAAACGCTACCACCTCAGTCATGATCTAGACCTGACGAAGAAACGAGCTTGTTTGGCTTGAACCTTCCAGAAAATCAAGCCGCCAACTCTTCCTTGAATGATCGCTCCTTTGGGGCATTGTTCATTGGGTGAATGAAGAGGTTGTATGCCAGATTCATGCGGTATCGTGGCATGTCTTCCTCTAAAAAAGATGCAAAAAGAAGCAAGTATGTTACTAGTTATTCTTTTGCTGCATAAGTATTGAAAATAAAGAAAGTAGATTGTAACAAAATGACAAGACAAAAAAAGTGTGTACCTGCTTAAACTCTCCCACTGCCTTTCCATCATAGTTCTCCACATATTTGAGCCCGAAAAAACCACAATCACACCTGTGAGATAAAAAAAGTTCTC